AACTGTGATTTATCTACATATTTGGTGACGATTATCCTATTAATACAATACTAGATAACTGTGATTTATCTACATATTTGGTGACGATTATCCTATTAATACAATACTAGATAACTGTGATTTATCTACATATTTGGTGACGATTATCCTATTAATACAATACTAGATAACTGTTATTTATCTACAATATTTGGTGACGATTATCCTATTAATACAATACTAGATAACTGTTATTTATCTACATATTTGGTGACGATTATCCTATTAATACAATACTAGATAACTGTTATTTATCTACATATTTGGTGACGATTATCCTATTAATACAATACTAGATAACTGTGATTTATCTACTCTTTTAACCTTTTCAAACACTACTTTTACATATTTTATGTTAAGCCATGTCTCACATTCTGCTTAACGGTGATAAACAGTTGGCAGGAACTTCTTGTGTTTAAACTGATACAAGTTATATATATTATACTAGTTTCTCGTATACATTCATACGATAATTACCTTCTATAGATCTGACAAGATCATAGAATAGCGTAATAATGAAGCCATTTCTGTTGTACTCTAGAATGTAATAATGAAGCCATTTCTGTTGTACTCTAGAATGTAATAATGAAGCCATTTCTGTTGTACTCTAGAATGTAATAATGAAGCCATTTCTGTTGTACTCTAGAACGTAATAATGAAGCCATTTCTGTTGTACTCTAGAACGTAATAATGAAGCCATTTCTGTTGTACTCTAGAATGTAATAATGAAGCCATTTCGGTTGTAGTCTACAATGTAATAATGAAGCCATTTCTGCTGTACTCTAGAATGTAATAATGAAGCCATTTCTGTTGTAGTCTACAATGTAATAATGAAGCCATTTCTGTTGTACTCTAGAATGTAATAATGAAGCCATTTCTGTTGTACTCTAGAATGTAATAATGAAGCCATTTCTGTTGCATTCTAGAATACAATAATGAAGCCATTTCTGTTGTATTCTAGAATGCAATAATGAAGCCATTTCTGTTGTACTCTACAATGTAATAATGAAACCATTTCTGTTGTACTCTACAATGTAATAATGAAGCCATTTCTGTTGTACTCTACAATGTAATAATGAAGCTATTTCTGTTGTACTCTACAATGTAATAATGAAACCATTTCTATTGTAGTCTACAATGTAATAATGAAGCCACATCTACGCTCAGAAAATGTTATGCTAGATAACTTTAGTAAATTGACAGTTTTTAGAATTCCATGTATTTGTATATATACGAAAATACATTGATCGTGTAATGTGTCTGATAATTGCTGGAGAATTGTTAATCTAGAAAAGTCACCATGATAAATAAATAGCCTGCCAAAAATACGACTCCCAATAAGTGTAAGGCTACTCGAGGGCTATCTACGCTAGCAGTCCCTTATATAGCAGCGATAGACTATCCTACCAAAAGTCATGAGACACACTTCTGATTGAGTGTGACGACGAAGTATGCAACTAGTTTAGCCTATAAAGGTGATCAGCGGAAGTCATTTCGAACTTGTACGCCGAACGATGAGTACACGGAAAGAGCTAACAGAGTTTCAGAGGGGAAGGATAGTTGGATTTAATTTGGAGAAAATGTTTGTACGTGCTATTGCGCAAGAATCAAACATTCCCAGGTCGACAACTGGCAAAGTGCTGAAGAAATGGAAGTCCATATGTTACTGAAGAGACCGTCTTGGCCTTGCCCTAATTCTGCCTTCCAGTTCATCCCAAAGATGTTCTATCGGGTTGAGGTCGGGGCTCTGTGCCGGTCACTGCAATGTTTCGATGTTATTCTCTTTAAATCACGCATTCACAATCTTTGCTTTGTAACAAGGAGTGTTATCATGTTGGAAGGTGTAAGGGCCGGTAGCATAAAATTGCCACAATATAGGACACACAGAATTGTTCAGAACATCAATGTAGGACTCAGCATTTATGGATCTATGCACTGCGACCAGTAGATGTAGTACAAACCACGAGAAGCACCCCCAGATCATGATACCGCCACCTCCAAACTTTACTGTTGGGACAACACACTCTGGTAATAAGTGTTCTCCAGGCATCCTTCATACACAAACACGTCCATCAGATTGGAAGAGCATGTAGCATGACTCGTCGCTCCACAGAACCGATTTCCATTGATCCACAGTCCAGGTTTGGTGTTTCTTGCCTATGACGCATCTGTGCATTTGTTTTTTGTTATCAACGGCTTGTGGGTTGCAGCTATTACGTGAAATTCACGGCATTCAGCTCTCGACGTGTCGTGGAAACACTTATAGGATTACCTGTGCCTTCTCGCATCTCCAAACATAGATTCTCTAGAGTCTGACGGTGAGATGAGGTAACCAGCCTTCTCAAGGTGCGTCGGCTCCTGTCAGTCAGTATTTTACACCTACCTGGTCCTTTCTTGGGCTCATTGTCATGAAGTTTACTAATGCTTTATAGGAAGAGTGGAGCACAATACCACCAGCTTTCTTCCAGACATTAGTAGACAATCATTAAGGTCAAAGGTAGGCCAACATGCTATTAATTTGTTATATTCATAACTACCCACGTCCCATGACTTTTGACATAAGGAAATCATAAAAACCGATTAATAAATAAATTAACAGAAAATATACTCAATAAAAACTGGTTAGTGAATATCGACAGAAAACTCAGTAAAAATAAGTTTATAAATATTAAAATAACGTTTTCTTTTGTTTATTTTTAGCGCAAAGCTGCACAATGGGCTACCTACGTTCTGTCAACCGCGTGGAATCGAACCCTCGGTTTTAGTTATGGAAGTTCGTAAACTTACCGCTGACTCACCGAGGAACATTAATACAAAGAAATCGTTCAAATCTCGTTAATACCTATTAATATAATGATCTGGTTATATGTAATAGGATAGAACTGTGGAAGGTCGGTTTACAGCGTAAGTTTCATTAAGTATTAGTGCTATAGAATACAACTATGGAAAGTCGGTTTACAACGTAAGTTCCACTAAGTATTAGTGTTATAGGATAGAACTGTGGAAAGTCGGTTTACAGCGTCAGTTCCACTAAGTATTAGTGTTATGGGATAGAACTATGGAAAGTCGGTTTACAGCGTAAGTTCCACTAAGTATTAGTGTTATGGGATAGAACAATGGAAAGTCGGTTTACAGCGTAAGTTCCACTAAGTATTAGTGTTATAGGATAGAACTGTGGAAAGTCGGTTTACAACGTAAGTTCCACTAAGTATTAGTGTTATAGGATAGAACTGTGGAAAGTCGGTTTACAGCGTCAGTTCCACTAAGTATTCGTGTTGAAGGACAGAAATATGACAACATGATATAATATCCCTGAACACAGTAAAGAATCAGGTTGGGTAAGGTAAACAATAAGTCTTGTTTAAACCTTTACGAAGTTTGATCGATAGTTGGGAAAGGTTTATGTGAACATTCCTTTTGTTTGTTACGGACACAACTCATTATGAAGTTAAAATGTCACTAGTTCCAAGTAAATGCAGATGGCAAGGTGTAACGTACCAAGAATTCCCAGACGATAATTAAAGGTGACCACTACTACATCCTTGTTAACTAACTTCGCTGGCCCGTACAGACTACTGGAACCGCTTTCGAAACTTCCTCCATGGATGAAAGTCATAACAGGGTATTTTGTGGACGGACCCCCGAACTCCTGTCGCTAGAGTCACAAAGACAAATACTAACCAGTTTGTTACCATATTATGTATCATAATTACAGTAAAACATTGCAATCTTTTATTAAGCTTTGAAAATGTTGGCAAAACTTAACTGGTTTATAAATAAATCTAATCATAAACACCTTAGGTGTGAAAAAAAAAGGTGCGGCCAAAAAAGAACTGAGTGTGCGACTTAAAGGAATGAAATCAAAATTGGCGACCAAACTGGTAGCTACACTTATAGCGTTGATGAGAAGTTTTCAGCTTTTTTGTTAGCTAAGCCGCATATTTTGTTTTACCTACCATCATGCCCCAAGTTGAACAAAAAAAAAACGTGTCCTCGCTAACTAATGAGTTAATATTTGTTGTAAATTTCTTATCAATATTAAAAGTTTAGCTACCAGTTTTGTCGCCAATTTTAATTTCATTCCTAAATGTCGCACGTTCAATCCTTTCTTGGCCGCACCTTTTTTTTCACACCTGGTATTTTTGATTAGATATCACGACGTTTTGTAAATACACATAAACAAACCACAGCAAGTAAGAAAGTAACACTCGATAGTAACCAACATTAGCTTTAGGCTTACAATTCTATTATATATTCGGAACAGATCTTTTTTTTACAGATGTTGTTGTTGTTTGTTATTAAGCACAAAGCTACACAAAGGGCTATCTGTGCTTATGATATACAACATTGTTTATTAACAAAAAGGGGGACATAGATAAACGTTTCGGGAATTGTATCAGATTCCATCTTCAGTATCTAAAGCAAAATGAAATGAATTTACATAAGTCTTTGGACATTGCTAAAGTACAAATGCTAAATTTAACGATAATTAAACAAATAAAACACAAAACAGTAATCATGGGGAGAACTATAGCAAGAAAACACAACAACACAACAACAAAAAGTAAAATCAGTAATACGAACATTTAATTTAAATGAAGACTGCGTGTTGTTCAGTGTTGGAGAATGCTGTTTGACGTGGAGGGTTTCTTTAATCAATAATTCCAGGTCAGTATTAGACTTGCAGAGGATAGAAAAATTTGATAGCATAGGTCGATGTCCTGTTTCTTCACTACGCTGGCGTATAGAGGAAACACAGGGGTTACTCAATTTTTTTTGTGTTGTGATGGAAATTCCCATATGTTCATAGGCTCTGACTTTTAATAAACAACGTTGTTTATCATAAGTGTCGTAATCTTGTTTATTACTAAACTTCATTTTCCTTCGAACACATCGATTGCTATCTGTGGTCTGCCCACCACGGGTATCGAAACCCGGTTTTTAGCAGTATAAGTCCGCAGACATACCACTGTGCCTGTGGGGAGCTACTTAACAGAACCAACCCGTTTCTTTATAGGCTGCATGGTGGTAGTTTTCCTCTCCAAAACAACTGTATTTAATTCGAACTACAAGAAACTAAATATGGTCCACTTTTAACCTTAGATAAAACTGTGTTAACAATTTCGGGCCGATAGCTCACTCGACATTTTGCGTGGGCGTGCTTAAAAACTTGGGTCAAAATTGAAGAGTTTTTGTTGAATAACTTTGCACATGTTGCTTAAATTCAGACCAAATTTGACACCTAATTGAAGGTTATAAGTAACTATAAGTGTACCCAATTATAAAAAAATCAATCAAACTTAAGTATGTTATATATCAAATAACTTTTCGGTGCGAAGAAGGAAAAATTCCAATCAACATTGGAGATTTTATATCTCGTGTGTTTCCTAATGTATTGCGTTGAAATTTGGTTTGTGAAATAAGGGTCCAAAAGAGGACTTCCACTGAAAATATGGGAGAGTTTAGTTTACAACAGTCTGAGCTACAGAAAGTGGAAACTTTTTAAACTATTACTCTATTACTTGATATATCGTTTTACGAACTCGTAGCTGACAATAGTAAACAAACAATACTACAAGTATTCATTGTTGGAGTTTGTTCATTAGTAGATATCTGCAGCTGATAGACAACACACGTCAAGAAACAAACAACAATAATACAATTATTCATTGTTGGAGTTTGTTCATTAGTAGATATCTGCAGCTGATAGACAACACACGTCAAGAAACAAACAACAATAATACAATTATTCATTGTTGGAGTTTGTTCATTAGTAGATATCTGTAGCTGATAGACAACACACGTCAATAAACAAACAACAATACAAGTATTCATTGTTGGAGTTTGTTCATTAGTAGAGATCTGCAGCTGATAGACAACACATGTCAAGAAACAAACAATACTACAAGAATTCATTGTTGGAGTTTGTTCATTAGTAAATATCTGCAGCTGATAGACAACACATATCAAGAAACAAACAACAATACAAGCATTCATTGTTGGAGTTTGTTCATTAGTAGATATCTGTAGCTGATAGACAACACACGTCAAGAAACAAACAATACTACAAGTATTCGTTGTTGGAGTTTGTTCATTAGTAGATATCTGTAGCTGATAGACAACACACGTCAAGAAACAAACAACAATACAATTATTCATTGTTGGAGTTTGTTCATTAGTAGATATCTACAGCTGATAGGCAACACACGTCAAGAAACAAACAATACTACAAGTATTCGTTGTTGGAGTTTGTTCATTAGTAGATATTAGCAGGTTGATACTAGGTTAGATATCAAGGAAATATGACAGTCTTTATCTATGTATGACTGAATGTTTGGAATTTCTTTAGTAGCGGAGATTTGAAGGCTTACAGATATGAAGGATATATATATATATATATTGTTACGACAGCGGAAGTCAGGTAACCCTGGTAGCGTGCGTGAAGTTTCTCGAATTATCGGGGAAGTTCGAGTGTGATCAAGACGTCACTTTGTCAGTATATAAGTCTGGCGAGAAAAGCCAGCGGTATAAAGGAACAGCAGTCACGGTGAGTTTCGGGTAATTTACGATTCTGTTTCGAGCTAGTGTGTGTTTTGAACTCGTAGAGAGCGAACTTATCTAGATTGTGAATCGCTGTGATTTATAGCGTGTATTATAAAAGTTGTTAAGTTTAAAGTGACGATAAATGTACTAACTGTGGAATTACTGTGTATTAAAAGTTTGTATCGAGAAAGAATAAGCTGGTTTAATCAAGAAAGGACTTGTATCGCTGAAGTTCCTCTGAAAGAATTTCTACCGGAAATTAACAAACAAGGAGATACGCAACAATATATAAATATATATTATTTGGCGAATATAAAAGCTGAATACTAAACTTTCAACCAATTACAAACACTCAATGATACAAAAAAGACTGATGATAAAGATGTAAATAGTTGCCGTTGCGGTAAAATGTACATAGGATAAACGAGATTGAAAGAACATCAGTATGACATAAAACATGGTAACACTATGTCCTCTACTGTAGCTGACCATGGTAATTATGGAAAAATGTAAAGATCTTAAGAAATACACAAAGAAACATAAAAAGGAACTTAAGGCAGTATTTTTATAATTAAAAACAGATTTGTGTGTATAGATAGAGACGACGAACCAATGAACATGTCCTATTAAAATACTTATTTAACTTAAGTATTCCCTCATTTACGATTTACTCTCCACCCCTTGTTTTTGAAAATGAACTTACCAATAAATGGTTTCTCGCTGAATATATTGTAAGCTAACACTGTAGGTAGTAGCCTTGGTGATAGTAACTGTGTTACCGAAACTAGTCAGAGCTGAAAAGAGGTTAAGCTGAAGACTAAATTTGCTGGGATATTAAGTTTAATTTGTTCAGTATATTATCTATAGTTTTTCCAGTATATTAACCATGGTTAACAAAGGTTAGGGTTTATCTAAGTCTTGTACTTTATCTGTTATCCTACCGGAAGTCTTGGTGTAAAGACGTTTATAAAGAGACAGTCTTCTGCACCAACTTGCATTCCTCTTGGATCCACTTGTGGGCAGCTTGACCTGTATTCCGTAGCATTCAAAGTGTCACTCCAGCCTGGATGTCGAACTGGAGTCTGGATATGGGAAAACAGCTTCAGCAACAATTTCTTGACTGATATCCAGACACAATATTCGAAAAATAATTTCGTGAAGAAAAACAATATAATTATACATATAATGGATGGAAACTTAATTATAATTAGAATACTTAAAACCAACAATTTCCTAAATGATTTAAATAACGAAGCGTATTTGATTTTTTCTACGTTTATTCTGATAAAATACGGTTGTACATCCGCCAACATCAAGAAAGGTTTCACTGATAACTTAGCAGACAATAAATAAATGAATAACGTCAGAGAATATTTCGATAGATGAACTAATATATAACTAAACTATGCAGTGAAAACTCTGTTATATATAATTGGTGATTTTTTACAGAGAAACTAAAGCAACGACTGACTCAAGACACAGGGATTTTAGAAAAACTGAGCCATCTATAAAAAACATCAACACTGACTAAACAAATGCATCACTTAATCAGTATACAAAATATAACTTCAGATAAGGTAAGAACCTAGTATCTGATGTCACCATTAAAATTAGATACACGGTGTAGTTACAACAGATCTATGTGATAATAAAATGTCAGGATTACTGTGGCCGTCTTTTCTCAGACACAAAGCAATGATTGTAAAACTAGTTCCTAGTTCAGACATACCTTTCGTATCAATAGTTTTATTGTTTTTCTCTTTCCGATACAGAACCATTTCAAGTAGAATACATACTTGTATTGTTTATTTCTTTTCCGATACAGAACCATTCCAAGTAGAATACATACTTGTATTGTACTTATATTTTCCGATACAGAACCATTCCAAGTAGAATACATACTTGTATTGTACTTATATTTTCCGATACAGAACCATTCCAAGTAGAATACATATTTGTATTGTACTTATATTTTCCGATACAGAACCATTCCAAGTAGAATACATACTTGTATTGTACTTATATTTTCCGATACAGAACCATTCCAAGTAGAATACATACTTGTATTGTACTTATATTTTCCGATACAGAACCATTCCAAGTAGAATACATACTTGTATTGTACTTATATTTTCCGATACAGAACCATTCCAAATAGAATACATACTTGTATTGTTCTGTTCTTTTCCCCGATATACAAGCAGAATCATGTAACATCCCCTATTTTAACACTAAATAAAGGTTTCACTATGGATGCTGTGTTTTTGTTTATAACTTACCTTAAATCGAAGAGGACCGATCGGAGGAGTGGCGTAAGGTATTCCCATGAAACCGTAGAATCGTCCGTTGCTTGTAGTCTGTATCAGCCGACCTCGAACCAGTCCCTGAGGTAACTGGACGTCAGACGACTCGAGTCTGAAAGCAGTAGTCCAATGTGTAGTGATGAATGTGACTTTTAAGAGAAGAGCGAGTTCCTGGAACGTCATTTTGTAGTCTCTACAATAAAGACATAATCCGTATTGAAACCCGGTTTAACCTTAGGCTCAGATTCAACAAAGATCTGAAAGCTAACAAGTCGCTGATTTTGACTGCTCGTTTATTAATTTATGACCTCTTTCTTGGAGCACGTTAGTAAAAGAACCACGTCTAATTGTCACCTACACATACTTGTTATTTCCCAAGTCCTTTTCCAACCTATTCCAAAGTCTACCAAAACCTGGAAAACATATTTCAGCGTTCACCCAATGGTAACAGAATGTCGAGATTTTTTAGAAATCCGCTTAGTTACAGGTACATCAGGAATGACATCGGAAACGATGATTTTACAATAGCACGATTGTGTGCCTTACCGGGATCAAAGGTATTTTACTAGGTACTGGTACAGGATATACTTTCAAATTACTACCATCACATCCTCGGTTATAATAGGACTGACGCCTTCTGCTGGCATCTACGTTCTGGCCCATATACAGTCTCTTTGTCAACATTTCTAATGTAATTATTGAGGTGACCACGTGATGGTTAAAAATTCATCTCTTTATGGTTGTTATAATTGCTAGGTTTCGCACCCTGAAATAATGCAACAATTTTTTTTTACTTTATCAAATAACTGGACAAAATACTATGTGTGCTCTGCCCACTGCGGGTATCGAAACCCGATTTTTAGCATTATAAGCCCACAGACTTATTGCCGAGCCACTGGGAGTTATTAAAAACGGACAGCGTGACTTTTTACTTTTGTTATTCAGGTTAAATTTAACGAACAGATAGAAATCACTTTTAAGGTAAGATTTTACAGAGAATATATGATATGACATCGAAACGTGACATATAAAACCGACAAGCTGAACGTCCACTGAACAGATCTTCTTTTATGTAAAAGTGAATAAACTCCGTGAAAATCATTATTATATTATTCTGGCTAGGGTGGGACTGCTGATGTTTTATATCAACTGATAACTGCTTGATAGAAGTTATATTATTCTTTAAACCAACTTAAGGTTAGTCTAGTGGAATATGTCCTTAAATCAGAAAAGAAATGACTTCTATGTAGTCTGAACTGTCCTTAAATCAGAAAAGAAAAGACTTCTATGTAAATTCGATGACGAGGAACCCACTTTGAGATTAATAATGGCTGGAGACGGCTT